AGATGTCACTGTGGGCCTCATCAAAAAATTATCCAACCTGGAGATGGCTGTGGGAAACTCCTGAACCTGCAGTTGGCATCAGAAGGCCTGGGCATTCTTGGCCAGCCATCTGGAGCACGGTCCCCGTAAACTCAGGTTTGCCTAACATCATGTACTATGTAAAAAACAGTGAAATTCAAATAGGTCTGCTGATAATAGTACCGTGCCAAGCTTGTTAGAACAAGTTTATCTGTGTCTACAAAAAAAAAAAACCCTGGGATTTTCATGGTAATTGTGTTAAACCTAATAGACCAATTTGGGGAGAATTAATACTTTTGAGACAGGTAAATCGTGTTCACTTTTATATTTCAGTGTCCAGTTGTTCATTGCTGATATATAGAAATACAACTGCTTTTTGTATGTTAACTTTGTATCTTGCGGCCTTACTAAACTCACTTGTTAATTCTAGGAGGGTTTTTCTTTTCTAAAAAGATTGGTTGGGTTTTCTGTATAGACAATTATGTTATCTGTGATTTTCTCCTTTCCAGGCCCTTTTCCAAAGCCTTTTAACTTTTCCTGCCGTATTACACGGGGCAGGACTTCTCATACTATCCTGAATAGGAGTGGTGAGGCTGGCCACCACTTACCCTATGGGGGCCTTATCCTATGGGGAAAGAATTCAGTTTTTCATCATTAAGTATGATGTTAGCTGTCGTTTTTTTTTGTCAACGTTCTTTATCAGGTTGAAGAAGTTTCCTTCAATTCCTAGTTTGAGAGTTTTTTTTTTTTTGAGATGGAGTTTTGCTCTCGTGACCCAGGCTGGGGTGCAATGGCGCAATCTCGGCTCACCGTAACCTCCGCCTCCTGGGTTCAGGCAATTCTCCTGCTTCAGCCTCCCGAGTAGCTGGGATTACAGGCACGTGCCACCATGCCCAGCTAATTTTTTGTATTTTTAGTAGAGATGGGGTCTCACCATGTTGACCAAGATGGTCTCGATCTCTTGACCTCGTGATCCACCCGCCTTGGCCTCCCAAAGTGCTGGGATTACAGGCTTGAGCCACCGCGCCCGGCCTTGAGAGTTTTTATTACCAATGGGGATTGAATTTTATCAACTGCCTTTTCTGCATTAATTGATATTACCATGTGTCTTTCCTTCTTTAGACTATTAATGTAGTGAGTGAGTTTGGATTTTGAATGTCTGCGTTCCATTTCCGGATTAACCCCACCACGTCCTAGTGTCTTACACTCTTTGCACATGGCTAGATTTGCTTTACTGAGATTTTGTTGAGGATTTTTGTGCATACATTCACGAGGGATGTTGGACTGTAGTACTGTGTCTCTCTAGTTTTGGTATCAGAATAATCGTTGGCCCCGAGATGAGAAGCGCTGTCTCCCGTTTTATTTGTGGAATACAGTGCATAGAATTAATATCTCTTTATATGTTTAGCAAAATTCACCAGTGACATCATCAGGCTTCAGAAAGTGCCTTTCTGGGAAGGGTTTCAACTTCAGCTCATCTATTTCATCTTCAGTGAGTTTTTGGTTTTCAAGGAATTGGTTTATTTCCCCACACCTGTTGAATGTAGGCGCATTAAGATGTACGTGGTGTTCATTATTGTTGGGATATCTTGAAAGATTTGTGGTGATGTATTTTCTTTTCGTTCCTGACCTGGTAATTTGTTTCTCTTCCCTGTTTTCTTTGATAAGCTTCCTGCAACAGAGTCTTACTGATCTGTTCAAAGTACTAGGTTTTGATTGATTTTCCTCTTTTTGCTTCTTAGTTCCATTTCTGCCCTTTGTTTTGGTGACTGTGTCTGTGCTACTCATGGATGGTGTGTTGTGCAAATGTAAATCAAGCTAAGTTGCTTAATGGTGCTGTTCGAGTCGATTGCGTCCTTCATGAAAAGGTCTTCGTTTTAATGTCTAGTTTATATTTCGGGAGCATTTCTTTCTTATGACAATTTTATCCCTATTTTTTCCTTCAAAAGTTTTATATGGTATAAACAAGAGTTAAGAGTCATTTTTATTGCTATTGCAAATACCAATTGACCCTGGTTTTTTTTGTTATTTATTTTTAATGGGAAGTATGTTTCTTGGGCCAGCAATGTGCCAAAGGCGCCTGAAAAGTGGAGCAGGAAGGTATCCCTGCCTCTGGGGGAAGCACCCCTTAGCAGACTGTGTAAGTGCCATAATTCAGCCTTAACCTCTTACTGGTTCCACGGGCTGGCAGCTTCTGGGAAGGCAGCCCACTACTCTACAAGTTTCTTCTCCAGCCGGCCCTGTGTCTGCGTCTCACGAGGTTGGCCTGTCTGTGCCATGTCTCTTCCTGTAGCCGTGCGTGGTGTTATAGGTTGGGTCACAGAGGGGCTTCTTCCCCGGCTGTGAATCCTACCCTGGAGGACTTTGGACTCTGCCTGGAACCCTGGCCAGGTTCCACTCTGATCTTCCTCATCTGCAGCCTTCTGCATAGCTACTGTGGCTGGGTGCAGTAGTTGCATTTATCTGACGACCTGACCAGGCTGAGCCGATTTCGTCAAACAGTGGTTCTAGATGGTGCCGTGTAATTAACATGTAAGTCAGGAGGCTCGAAGTGAAACATGGTCCTTCATAATGTGAGTGGGCCTCATCCAGGCAGTGGAACACTGGAAGAGAAAAGGCTGAGCTCCCTTGAGGCGGCAGAATTTCTGCCTCCAGTCTGCACCACCAGCTCTTCCCTGGGTCCCCAAGATGCTGGCCTGCCCTCAAGATGTGAGACTTGCCAGACACAACAGTCCTATGAGCCAGTTCCTTAAACCTCTGCATCTCCCTCCATCCTGTTGGTTTTGTTTCTCTGACTAGTAGCTGGGGGGTTCTAGTTCTGGCCTCATTTCTTGAAAGATGGAGATGGAGTTCCCTTCTGGTTCTCTCTGGTGGTTCTGGCCTGGCTTCAGGCAGTAGAACAGCATGGAGACCTGTCTCCTCTGCCATCTTTCACATGGAAGAGCTGATCTGTTTTACGATGTCTTTGGGGCTGTGGGAAATAAAGCTTGTCTGCAGGCAGCAGGAGGAATTGCACTTCCTGGGTCCAGAGAAAAAGGCCACTTGCTTTTTATTTTTTTTCCGAGACCAAATCTTGCTTTGTTGCCCAGGCGGCAGTGCAGTGGTGCAGTCTCTTGTCTCCTGGGCCCAAGCCATTCTTTGCCTCAGCCTCCCGAGTAGCTAGGATTACAGGTGTGCGTCACAACGCCCGGCTACCTTTTTTTTGTTTTTGTTTTTTTTTTGTTTTTTTTGAGACGGAGTTTCACTCTTGTTACCCAGGCTGGAGTGCAATGGCGCGATCTCGGCTCACCACAACCTCCACCTCCTGGGTTCAGGCAATTCTCCTGCCTCAGCCTCCCGAGTAGCTGGGATAACAGGCATACGCTACCATACCCAGCTAATTTTTGTATTTTTAGTAGAGATGGGGTTTCACCATGTTGACCAGGATGGTCTCGATATCTTGACCTCATGATCCACCTGCCTCAGCCTCCCAAAGTGCTGGGATTACAGGCGTGAGCCACTGCACCCAGCCCCGGCTACTTTTTAAAAAAAATTTTTAGTAGAGACAGCGTTTTGCTGTGTTGGTCTTCAGTGATCTGCATGCCTTGGCCTCCCAAAGCACTGGGATTACAAGCAAGAACCACCATGCCCAGCCCTACCCTTTATTATTTCCAAAAGCCCAGGCCTTCCTCTAGGCCATGCAGGGTGGATTACTGCGTACACCACATAAGGTTGGGGTAAGCCATCCTGAATGGCCTAGAGGCCGTGAACACAGGGCTGTGGGTTCCAGCCTGGCCCCTTGTATGAAAAACCCTAAGTAAATGCATCAAAAGAATAATTAGCACTTTATTAAAAAAGCCCTCATTTTATGATGAGGAAGTGGGGCCTCCAGGAGGACAATGGTCAGTCTGGCCATCCTACGCACCACCTGTCAGGAGCCTCATGTATCTGTCACAAGTGGCCTGCCTCACTGCAAACTGTGACACAGATAACGTAGATAGATGTGATTAGTAAAAATCAGTGTGATTTAATAAATAGTGTGACGCTTCTGTACAGGGCCCTCCTGTCTGTCCCAGAGCCAGCGGGAGTGCTGGATGGATGTGGGCCTGGGTCACTCGAGACCACGAGATTCCTGCAGCTTTCCCAGTTGGAAAAATCGAGCTAGTGACCGAAGGCTGCAGGTCCTAAAAGTCTTCCCCTGAATCATAGACACGGCAGGGGCCGCAGTCACATACAAATTGAGATGCTTCGAGAGGCTGCCACGGAGTGAGGTCCACTACACAGCTTCGTGGCACGTCTGGGCTCTCTTGGTGCTGCAGCAGTATTTTTCACATAGTTTGAGGAGCTCTGACAATATGAAGACGGATGAGGCCAATCCAATTAAAAACAGCAGATCTGCCAAAGGGGAAAACAGAGAGTCAGGGCACAGGCTGCCGCTCTGCTGCACCGGCAGGAAGTGCCTTCCCCGCAAGTCCTCCTGATAAGTCAGAGTGCAGAAGGACCAGCCTTTTCCGTTCCCCTAAGCGGGGAGATCTTCCCAACCCCGGATCTAAAATGCTGCAGTTCCAGAAGGCCCTGCATGTCTTTCCAGGCAGCTCCAGAGCACAAGGTGGGTCCAGCGGGCAGGTTTTTTTTAATTAAAAAAGCCCTCATTTTAAGATGAACTCCGGCTGTAAGGGGAATGAGTGCCCATCCCCAATGGCAGCTGTCCCTGTGTGCTGCTACTTGCAAATGTCCCGAGTGACCCATGTGGGCTCCCTGTCCAGGGCACCCCGACGCGTTCCTTGGGATTCATTCCTAATGTCCCTCTGCTCCTCTTGTGCAGAACCATCCCTGGCTCCCTGCTGCTGATCCTGACCTGCAGCTTGCCCATGCACAACCCCTTCAGCTGTGGGAAGCCGACTTCCTTCCCAGTGTGTGGAAACATCCAGGGAACAGATTGTTTTGTGCGGGGGGGTGGGGGGGGGTCCTCTTCTTTTGTCTGTTCCTACAGGGCCTTCACTGGTGACCCACACTGACACTGCTTTTTGGAAGACAAGGCAGAGCTGAGCAGCCCAGTCTGGGCTAGAGGTCATAAGGACCGTTGTCACTACAGCCTCTGGCCTGATGGATAATACCATGATCCACTCAGCCCTGCCATGGGGGATCGGCCCATGGGGGCTGCCTCCCTTGTCCTCTACTCCAGACTGGGAGTGGCCATCAGCATCCTGGGAAGAAGGGTGGGGTCGAATGACTCGCTCCTGACTTCCACCCAGCCCTCCCCTCAGTGAAGCTTCAGAGAAAGTTGCCACGCTCGATTGGCTGAGGACGTCAGGGAGTCCACACCAGGGTGTGTGCCCTTGGAAAGCCATCGTGCCTGAGTCATGTCCATTTCGGCCCAAACTGGAAGACAGCCCAGCTCCCTGTCTTCAGGGGAGCAGATCTCTAAGTCATGCTACCAGCCCCAGGGTCAAATCCAGGCTCCCCAGGTGAGGGCACACCCCAGGCTGAGGGCACACCCCAGGTGAGGGCACACCCCAGGCTGAGTTTCGGCCTCGCTCGGCTCCCTTCTGCCTCCCTGCACGCGCTCTGAGCCTCCAGCCGATGCCTGGGATCCCGATGCCCTTTGGGCCCCAGACCCTACTCCAGAGCGAGGGGCATCTTCCTGGGAGTTTCTGTGTATCCTCTATGCCCCCCTCATATCACCCACGTTAGAGTCCCTCCCTGTAAGGACAGAAGAGCCCCAAGAGGGAGCCGGCTCCTGATGAGCTGCACTGACCCCTCCTGGGCTGGGGTTCCCCACCTGGCAGCTGCCACCCACCACGGCCCTGGTCTGGGTCACCAGTTCAAGTCCCCGCCACTCACCAAGTGCTCCCAGGTTCTCTGTCTGGAAGACCCTCTGCAGCGGGGGGATGTAAATGACCACCAGCTGCCCCAGGATGGACCCAAGGACGGAGTAGAGGAACATGCGGTTCCTGAGAAAGCCGATCTCAGATATTAGCTTGGTCTGCGGGAAGAAGGTCACATGGGGGCTTGTGCGCTGTCCACACTCCAGGTAAAGGCAGGGGAGCCCTGGCTGCCCACGCTGAGCCAGAGCTGCTCAGTGCCGTGGGCAGCACCAGGGCGCTGCTGTCGAGAACACCCTGCAGCTCTGCAGAGATGGGTCAGCCCGGGGCTCACCTGAGAGCGGCAGGTCAATGCGTTGAAGAGATCGAAAAACACGAAACAAGTGAATGTCATCGTGGTGGTGCGGGGAGTGCTTGCTCTGTCTTCAGGCATCTGGAAGGCAAGGAAGCAGGCCAGAGGTCACACGGGAAGAGACGTCCTCCATCCTGAACCAAAGAGCACGGGCCTGCCTGGCGGCTCCTGGGACATGGCCCCGGCCACTTCCAAGCTCTTTAAGAGGACTTGGTGACACAGCTGCATTCAGGTGTGTGGTCAGCACGTGCTTACCAGAGTCTCCGCAGCACACGCTGGTTTGCTGCCACCATGAGGATGGGGGCAGGGTACCTACAGGCAGAGGAAATGCCGCCGCCTCCAGGAAGTAACTGTCTCCCAGGGAGGTGACACCACTCCAGTTAAACCCACACAGTGAATGTCACTTTCTACAAGGAAGGCTGAAGCCTGGCTGACCCCCAGGATGATGAGGGCTTATGAAGTGACTGAGAAAAGCCCTGGAATCTTCCCCGGCTTTGAGCTCTGCAGGGCCACAGACGAAGGCTCAGGGTGGCTGCCCTGGCAGGGTATGGCTGGAGCTGAGACCAGACCAGCCCGAGGTCAGAAGCTCCTGGGCAGTTTTTCTTTTTTTTTGAGCTGGATTCTCACTCTGTCACTCAGGCTGGAGTGTAGTGGTACGATCTCAGCCCACTGCAACCTCCTGCCTCCCAAGTTCAGGTAATTCTCCCACCTCAGCCTCCCATGTAGCTGGGACTACAGATGCCCATCTGGCTAATTTTGTATTTTTAGTAGAGATGGAGTTTCACCATGTTGGCCAGGCTGGTCTTGAACTCCTCAGACGATCCATCCGCCTCAGCCTCCTAAAGTGTAGGATTACAGGCATGAGCTACCATGCCTGGCTAAATTTTGTGTTTCCGGTAAAGAGAGGGTTTCGTCATGTGGACCCAGGCTAGTCTCAAACTCCTGCCCTCAGGCAATCTGCCTGCCTCGGCCTCCCATAGTGCTGGGATTACAGGCATGAGCCACCATGCCCAGCTGGCAGTTCTCAGCTCAGCATGCCACAGCTTCCCTCCTGCACTCAGCGCCAGATCAGAGGGTTCAGCCGTGAGCTCGGAGCTGTCTCCTGGAGCATGTGTGTTAAGGTGGAGGCTGAGACAGGGCCTGGGCATCTGATTTTTTAGGTGCCCAGGGGTGCTGACACCACTGCTGGGACCCCACTCTGAGGACCACCAGCTTGGATGAAAGAGAGCCCGTCTCTCCCACCCCAAGCTGGACAAGACCTTCACTGCCTTCCCAGGTGAGTAAGAATGCTCGGGAAACATAGAGCTGTTCTGCTAGGGGCAGAGAGAGGGGCAAGTGAAGGTGGACTCTAGGCTGGACAGGAGGAGAGCTGGAGGAGAAAAGGACACAGGGTGCCTGGCCAGGGTCCCACCCCCTTCCTGCACATGGGCTGTGATGTAAAAGGTCCCAGGGGTCAGCCTGCCTAATTTCCCACCTAGGTCATTGCCTGTCCTGGCCCAGAGCTCCATGAACCTGCAGGCCACAAAAAAGTGACCTGGTACCAGATCCGAATCAGTCACCTCTAGACAATAAGACAGGAGGATCTTTTAGCAGGGTTCTGCTTGTTTCCTGGTGACAATAAAAGGAACGGGGGGCATCCTGTCCATCCCAACTCTGATCCCGGCCATGTCATCCCCAGCCCACTGGCCTCTGCAGTTTCCAGGCACACACCTGGCAACGTCCCTTCTTCCAGGGGTCACCCTTCCCCTTCCCCTCCGCCTCAGGCCTCCTCTCCCTCTGATGGCATCACACTGTCCTGTGGGTGATGTACTTGTTTGCCTCTCCCAGATGTGAGCCACAGCAGGAGGGCAGGGCCTGCAGTCCCCAGCATCTGCCCTGCACCGGGGCTTGAGCAAGCAGTGGAGTCCCTTGCTCACCTCCTTCCAGAAGATAAAGAGGGTCCCACTGATGATGACGGCCGCGGACATGAGGATCTTCAGGATGAGGGCTCTGCTGAGGATGGTGTCCCCCACGCTCCGTGGTGGCTGCCTGAGGGCGTCTTTGTCAACGGGCTCTACCCCCAGGCTGCTCCCAACAAAACACAGACACTTGGAAATGAACCAGGACTGAAAAAAGGACACTTGAAACAGCTGTGCCTACATCTTCCAGGACAAGCTGGCAGTGGGCAGGGCCAGGCATTTGCTGAATGCCCCCAGGCATCCCGCATGTCCTCTTTGGCGCCTTCCAGAAGCCCCAGAGCCTAGGCCCCTCCATCTGCCCCCAGACAGTGAAGGAAGACCACCCAGTGAGGCCAACCACACACAGTTCCATACGCCCAGGCTCACTCCATCACCACAAGGGGACCCCCAACGTTGGGCCTGGAGAAACAGGCTCTGCCCTCCGCAGGGCCCCTCATCGGTGGAGGAAGACCTGCCTCCAGCCAACTCCACACAGCAGGGTTGACGCTAGACCAGCAGCGGGCGGCATGGCAGGAGCAGCTGGGTGACACCCCACTGCTCAGACACAGCTGAGGCCAGCTTCTTGGCCCCATTTCCGCTCGCGGGGACCGGGGGCAGGAGAGGTAACCCTCACACTTGGCTGTGGGGACACAAATGAGGACTCTTTCCCTTGGCCGCTGGCAATGGTGATAACAGCAGCACTGAGCCAGCTCCAGTGGAAGCACTGTTGGCTCTGTGCTCACACGGTTACGTTCGCATGGCCACGTGGGTCCCCTGACTCCAAAGCCCATTCCTTCCCCTGGGCCACTCGGCTAGCTTAATATCCCCTTGTTGTTCGGGATATTAAGTTGTGCCACAGGTGAACTCCTGAACACCTACTGGGGTAACAAGTACTTTATCTCTAGACTGCAGGGATAAAACAAACTCTGCCTCGATGAAGCTGATGTTCTAAAGGGGAGCCAGATCATCATCACATCCATAAGGAAAGGTATGGACGTATTTCCTCTCTCTGGAAAAATACAGCAGCATGAGGAGATGGAGTGGGAGTGCAATCAGGGAAGACTTCCTGAAGGCAGTGACGGGAATGAAGAATGAGAACGAGCCAGGCAGGCTGCCCAGGGAGAGCATCCCGGCAGAGGGAGCAGAGAGTTCCATCCTCTGCCAACCCAGGTACTTTCTCCTCTGCCTTCTACCCTCAGTCTCACTCCAGTGCTAGACACTCCAGTTTTCTGGGAACTCCTGATGGAAAGTGGCTGTGTTTGTTCATCCCTATAGCCTTGGGGCACAGCCAGCAGCCCCTGGAGGAAGCCCTGCAGGGGGGTAACGGGACGTAGAACCCTGCCCGGCCTCACCTCTGCGCAGGGGGCCCGTCCATGATGATGTTGATCCACAGGATCTGCATGGCGTTGAGAGGGCTGGGCAGGTTGAACACGGTGGACAGAGTGATGAGACTCAGGGCGGAGATGCTCCTGTGGGGCACACGCAGCCAGTCAGGGGCTGCCCAGCAGGCTTGGCGCCTCATGCCCTCGGAAAGCCAGCCTCTACTTACGTGCTCAGCTGGAAGCGGACGAAGTTTTTGATGTTGTAAAAAATCCCCTTCCCTTCCTCCACTGCATTCCTGCGAGAGAAGAGAGCCGCTTACTCACAGAGGCCCTGCGGGAGGACTCCAGCAGCCGTGTCGGTTGCTGCAGGGGGCAGTGGTGACGTGCACAGATGGATGGCAGACTTGGACTTGCTGGCTTTCTTGGGGACACATCTGTAGGAGATGGTGGTAGTCTAACAGGTGACCCTCGGCCACTGGGGACTGATCCTCAAGCCACGTTTGCCCTTCTGTGCCAAGTGTACATTTGATGCCTCCAATCCAATCATAAATTACTCTCCTGTCGAGCCCAGGGACCCCATCCCTGCCTGGACTCCTGAGTGTTCCGTGCCTCTCAGCGATTCACCAAAGAAAAGAAAGACACAGCAAAACCAGTCAGGCCTGAAAGTGAGGTCGGTGGGGGGACAGTAAGAAGGGAGGGATGGGGAGGCTGAAGGATGCTACTTACTTGTATCTTTAGAAGGCTCTTCGTGGAAGCCCTTTTAAACCTTGACCTGGGGTCACTAGTGTCGAAAAGCAATCTACAAACCACCCCCACCCCCAGATTTTTCTAAAAAATTTTGCAAAAGAACTGTAGAGCTGATAGGACTTTTTTTTTTTTGGTGACTGTGTTAGGGCTTCCTATGATGAGTCAGTCGTGGAGACACCTTTGCAAAATGGGTGATCACACCTAACCTTAGCATCTGTTCATTTGAATTTCTGATAACAGCCTTAGAAAAGCTTTCCCTTGCCGGGCGCGGTAGCTCACGCTTGTAATTTCAGCACTTTGGGAGGCCAAGGTGGGTAGATCGGGAGGTCAGGAGTTTGAGACCAACATGGTGAAACCCCATCTCTACTACAGATACAAAGAATTAGCCAGGTGTGGTGGCACACGCCTGTAGTCCCAGCTACTCGTGAGGCTGAGACAGGAGAATCGCTTGAACCCGGGAGGCAGAGGTTGCGGTGAGCTGAGATCTCACCATCACACTCCAGCCTGGGCAACAGGGCGCGACTGTCTCAAAAAAAATTTTTTTTCCCTTACTTCCAACTACTGTGATTTCCTTAGGAGGGAGTTTGAACTAATTAAAATTAGATCCAGAGGGAAGGTAAATATATTAAGAAAAAAAATACATAAAAGTGAAACGGAACAACTAGCTTTACACAATCCCAGACCCTAGAGAGCCCACCGGTGGTTCTTTTCAGTGCATGAGATGCACATATCAACATGCTGGCCTCCAACTGAGGAGCTTCGCTTCATCCCTTCTCACCTGACACTCCAGTGCCTGCGTGCCTCTGGCTGCAGGTTTTCCTGACAGATTCGGCTGCTGTCCACCGGCCTGAGCCAGGCGGGCACTCCCAGTAACACACGAAACACACCCGCAGGCAGCGAATCCCATCTCTGCTTCGTGTCTGTAACGTGCCCCAGAGGTCATGGATCCCATGACGCTGCTTTGAGAGGCTCTTGGTGTTTGAGGTTGGGGGCACTGCCACAGTGATGAACCCCAAGATTGAGCTCTCCCTGGGGGACTCCTTGAGATCCCCTCTATCTCCCCATGACGCTGCTTTGAGAGGCTCTTGGTGTTTGAGGTTGGGGGCACTGCCACAGTGATGAACCCCAAGATTGAGCTCTCCCTGGGGGACTCCTTGAGATCCCCTCTATCTCCACAGTAGCAGGTCCCAGGGAGAAACTGGTGACCCCAGGCCTTTTTGCAACTAAAACTACCGAAAGGGCAGCTTACATGATGGCTGAGAAGTCATCGTCCACCAGGATCATGTTGGCCGCCTCTTTGCTGACGTCCGTCCCTGTCTGCCCCATGGCGATCCCGATGTCTGCAGACTTCAGGGCCACTGCATCATTCACGCCATCCCCAGTCATGGCCACGATCGCCCCTGACTCCTGCAGAGCCTTTGGACAGAACAGCCATGAAGGCCTGCAGCCCGAGGACCCCTCCTGGCTCCTCCCTTCCCTCCCAGTGCTCTGCCAAGCACAGCACGTGGCCAGATGCAGAGACCTCTGTCTGGAAGGCACCAGAGTCTGAATTCCAGCTTCACCCACATTAGCTGTAGGAACTGGGCGAGCCCTTGACCCTCTCAACCTCAGTTTCCCCATCTGCAAAGTGGGAGCAACCGTTCCTTCTTCCCAGGGCTGTTGTGAGGCCCAAAGTAAGATGACGGATGTGACGGTGCCCAGCACGGTCAGCAAGGGCTCATAAAGGCTATCTATCATCACCAGTGATAACTAGTAATACAAGGTGCAGCCCTAAAACCATGAGAGACCCGGTAAGTACTACTGCTTTCTTTGAGGAGTAACTCACATAGGGATTTACTCTGCAGAACTAAAAAGAACATGAAAGAAAGTCCATCTGCTGAAAGAGCTCCAGGCAAACATTCAGAGTGCGCGCAGGCGAGAAACGCACTTTCCGCCTCTCAGTTTTTGGATGCAGGGTCACAAAATCACAGCAGCTCTTCACGGGACACCTGCTGTGTGCCTGGCTTTGTTCAGCACTCTCACCAGCCCTGCAAATTAGCTGACGGCATTCATAGTCCCCCCATTTTGCAGAGGAGGAAACTGAGGCACAGAGCGAGGCAGGTGCATCACCTGAGGTCAGGAGTTGGAGACCAGCCTGGCAAACATGGCGAAACGCTGTCTCTACTACAAACACAAATTAGCCAGGTGTGCTGGTGCACACCGTAATCCCACCTACTTGGGAGGCTGAGGCAGCAGAATTGCTTGACCCTGGAAGGCAGAGGTTGAAATGAGCCGAGATTGTGCCACTCACTCCAGCCTGGGTGACAGTGAGACTCTGTACCGCCCTCCACCAAAAGAAAAAAAAAAAAAGCATCTGCTGTAGTTTTTCCCTGTGCATGCTCCAGTTACGGCTCTGTTTTCAGCCTCTGTGGCAAGGGTCCCCCAGTTCTCCCCTCCTCCTTAAAAGGACCCCCAGGCTCACTGGAGCTCGTGTCCACCCTGCTAGAGACGACACTTCCTGACATCCTCTGCAGCTAAACCTGGGCCTGTGACTGCGTTCTGGCCAAGGGGCTGTGAGCACAAGTGATGCTGGCAACTTCAGGGCCCCGTCCTCTCCAAGGGGGCTGCCCACCTGCTCCTGCTCCTCCTCCTCCCCCTCCCTCCCCAGGCTGTGAAAACGTAACCCCTGGGGCAGCTGCCCTGGACCTAGAGAAGGAAGCCACGCTTGAGCCCTGTGCTACCACCCGACAGACACGTGAGCTCCTCCAGCCACAGTATCTCTGGCCCGGCCCCAGTGGCACAGCCTGTGCCCGCCTTGCCCCGCAAACCTTGATGATTTTGAGCTTGTGCTTTGGGCTGGTCCTGAAGAACACGGACACCTGGACATGGATACAGGGAAGGTGAAGAATCAGATTTCAGAGCTGTGACCCAGCCCCACTGCCAGCCGCGCCTCCGGAGACCCACCTTCCCCACGCGGTCGGCCAGCTCGCCCTTCTCTACGCCGTCCACCTCCTCCCCGGACATGGCTTGCAGCTTCCTGTTGCAGAGGCCAATGTTTCTTCCTGCAGGAGAACCTGCTCTGAGGGCCGGCTCCAAGGTCCCCTTCCCCCCCGCTCCCAGCCGTACCTTAGCCATGGACAACACCAAGAATAAACCCACGCTGGAGATGGTGTCCTGGGCACCCCCTGTGCCGTGTGGCCTCAGTGCTTTCCACAGGACTAACTGACACCAAACACCTCATTATCCCCACTTTAAAGATGAGGAAAGAAAGGAGTGACCTATCCGAGGACACACAGCTGATAAGGAGTAACTCTGGAAGCCCACACGGCTTTCATTCCAAGGCCCATGGACCTTTTCATAGCACCAGGCAGGGGGAGGGGGAAAGGAGGGAGGGAGGAGGAGGAAGAGATTCATGGGCCTGGCTTTGTTTAATCCTCTCCCCAACCCTGTGAATTAGCTGTACCCCTATTTTACAGAGGAGGAAACTGAGGCACAGTTGAATAACAGGAATAATGCCAAGGAATGCCCAGCACTTGGGAAGGCCAAGGCGGGCAGATCACCTGAGGTCAGGAGTTTGAGACCAGCCTGGTCAACATAGCAAAACCCTGTCTCTACTAAAAATACAAAATTAGCCAGGTGTGGTGGTACACGCTGTAATCCCAGCTACTTGGGAGGCTGAGGCAGGAGAATCCCTTGAACCTGGGAGGCAGACGTTGAAGTAAGCCGAGATTGTGCCACTGCACTCCAGCCTGGGTGACAGCGTGAGACTCAGTACTGCTCCCCACCAAAAAAAGACAAAAGATAGCATCTGTTGTAGGTTTCCTCTAACCTACAACAGTTAAGGGAGGAGGAGAAAGGAGGAAAAAGAAAGGAGGAGGAAGAAAAAGGGAGGAGGAGAGAGGATGAGGACGGGGGAGAAGGCTGCCAGCCCTCTACTGATGAAGAGACTGAGGGTCAGAGTGGTTCAACGGTTTGCCAAGGGTACAGCAGACTCAAACTACATGGGCATGAGGCTGCTTGTGAAGATAGTGGATGAAAAGCCCCTGACACATCGTAGGCCTTCAGTATCCATGAGAACGTTTCCCCTTTTGCAGAACCTGCCAACATTTCAGAAACTGGAACACCTCAGAGGATGGAAAGCTGACCCATGAATCTCAGCATCTTTTCTAAGCCTATAGGGCTCGACATGAGCACTCCTGACCGAGTTAGCTGAGGCTTTCCTATGGCAGCAGCCCCCCATAGTAAAGGATGGATGGGTCCTTTCATCCTCAACCCCCACCCTGTTCAGTTACCTATGGCCAAGGCCGTCTCCAGAGCATCTCCTGTTACCATCTTCACGGACACGCCTGACTCGGAGAGAACCTGAACTGCTTCCTTCACGCCAGCCCTCGGGGGATCGATGATGCCCACGAGACCCAGGAATGTCAGCTGTCCCAGCTCGGGCCCAGAAGCCAGGGCCAGCACTGCAGAGAGGGGGAGAGAAAAGAGGGTTCACTGGGGACTTAGGGGCCATTTTTTTGTGTTTTGTTTTTTTCTTGAGAGGGAGTTTCGTTCTTGTTGCCCAGGCTGGAGTGCAGTGGCACCATCTCAGCTCACTGCCCAGGTTCAAATGATTCCACTGCCTCAGCCTCCTGAGTAGCCAGGATTACAGGTGCTCACCACCACGCCCAGCTAATTTTCATATTTTTAGTAGAGACAGGGTTTCACCATGTTGGTCAGGCTGCTCTCAAACTCCTGACCTCAGGTGATCTTCCCACCTCAGCCTCCCAAAGTGCTGGGATTACTGGTGTGAGCCACCGCACCCAGTTGTTAGTTCCCAGCCAGCCCCCACCATGGCCCAGATCCTCCTCGGTCTGCAGGGGGCTCAGGCAGCAAGTTCCTAGACTGCAAAGGGAGGGCAGAGATGCTGCCAGTGGCTCTCAGGCCTGTGAAGATGCACACCAGAGAGGGAAGCCAGAAACAGCCACGTAGCAGAAAGCATCACTGCTGTCCACGTGATACAGTTTGGCTGTATCCCCACCAAATCTCATCTTGAACTGTGGCTCCTGTAATTCCCATGTGTTGTGGGAGGGACCTGGTGGGAGGTTAGTGAATCATACCGGTGGTTTCCCCGTACTGTTCTGTGGTAGTGAATAAGTCTCATGAGAGCTGATAATTTCATGAGAGGTTTCCTCTTTTTCTTGGCTCTCATTCCCTCTTGCTAGCCACCAGGTAAGATGTGCCTTTCACCTTGTGCCATGACTGTGAGGCCTCCCCAGCCACGTGGAACTGTGAGTCCATTAAATTTCTTTTTCTTTATAAATTACCTAGTCTCAGGTCTGTCTTTATCAGTAGGATGAAAATGGACTAATATGTACTCATGGCATAGGACCCACGCCCCTTCCCAACAAAAGTGGCCACAGAAACCTGTGAGCTGGCCCAGAATGGATGTGGGTGGGGGGTAGGATGGGATGTTTCAACAGTTCTTGCCCTCATTTGTTCTGTGCTAACTCATCTTGTCACTTCCAGCAGATGTGAGGTGTCACTACAGAGGTTGAGAAAAATTGACAGGAGAGCAGCCCAGCTCAGGAGACTCTTAATGTGAGCTTGCCCTGGGCCTTGACGGTTTTGGTGGCAGGGAAGCCAGGCCCAGCTCATGAGAGCCGGGTGATCTGAGAGTGGGTGGTGTAAGAACATGCTTTTCACTTCACTGACACCAAAGATGGGGCTGGCATCCCTCCCACACAGTCATGAAATTGCACCAATGACACTGGTGCCTTTTCTCCCCTTTCCCAGGGGTCCCCTCCCCTCCCTGAACCTGGGCTTTGCCAACCCAGGAGCATCCCCTGCCTCCAGGGACCACCTGCAAGCGCCCTACCCCTAGAGGGTCCTCACTCCTGCCTCCGTGCTCTCCTTACCCTGACTCTCCTTCCCGCTCCATGGGGTTTGTCATCTTCCACTGAGTGCACGTGGGGTGGGTGGGGGGGTCCCAAAGCCACTCAAGGGGATTTAGCAGGTTGGGGGCTTCTCTGAGTCACTCGGGCACTGCCCTGGGCCTACCAGGCAGCAGGCCTTCCGGCTACATGCATCCCTTCTATTCCCAGAGCAGACATGGGTTGGAAAAACTCACAGGCCTTCTCTAAGGGCAGTCCCTGGGTTGTAGCTTTCCCAGCCACAGGTGGGAGACAAGTCCGTTTGTAAACACAAAAGGACTGGCGTGTGGACTGCGGAGACAGTAGAGGGTCTTGCTGCCCCTCCGCCACTGACTAGTTCTCATTACACTCTCCCCCGAGGCCTGCAGCGAGCCCCTGGAACGTGTCACTATGCTCTGCAGCAGACATCCAGGCTTAGGCACTGGCTGCGCTAGGGCTGTGTCACCTGGGCCAGCTCCTCTGCCCAGTGGGGATTCAGGGTGTGGCCTCACACAGGCATCTAACATGGTGCCCAGCACACAGGTGGCCTCACACAGGCATCTAACATGGTGCCAAGCACACAGGTGGGGCCCAAGAGCCAGGAGCAGATTTAGAGGCCAGTGCCATGAGGGATGTTTACTTATGAGCATGTCCACTTGAAGTGAGTTGTTCCATCGTCAGCAGAGGCACTGATGTGACCAGAACAGGGAGCTTCCCAGTGGCTTGGTCACATCAGCCAGGATGGAAGCAGCTGCTGCCCCTGTGCCAGATTGTCTCCCAATGCCTCCACTGTGCGGGAGGGATGCCAGCCCCGTCTCTGGTGTCAGTGAGATGAAAAGGACGTTCTTAAACCACTCCCTCAGATCACCCGGCTCGCAGGAGCTGGGCCTGGCTTCTCTACCACTGAAAGAGTCGACGCCCTGGGCAAGCTAAGACCAGATTCACTGTCTCTTCCAATCTTCACATCAATGAAGTCACTGCTCTTGTGCCTGCCTTTGCATATGGGGAAACTGAGGTACAGCATTTACCTATGGACCTATTGTAGACCCAGCGCTACACAAACTATTTAGGTAACACAAATGTGCAAAGCACCCCTGATTTGGGGAACATTCTCCTCACTCAGGAAGAGGGCACTCTCTGGGCACTGGCTTCACTGTGCTCCAGGAAGCCACAGGGTCTCACCCCGTACACCTGGGAGCAAGCTTGCCAACGACCTACGAACATAAGGCTCTGGAGCCAACAAGGCCAGCACAATGCTTCTCACTTCCCCCAAGGGAATCACAGTGCTCAGGAGCCCTTCTAAACGCTTCCTCTGAAACTGGCCAGGGTGACAAATGACACCAAGGGAAAGGTGAGTTTCAGTGTTCAGCCCATCACTGGCTCTGGTGCGAAAAATTGAAAATGGCCAAGGGAAGAATTGTATTCCTTGATTGAAAAGAGCTTCAGGTTTTCCTGACAAGAGGCAATGAGCAAAAAGACCTACTGGGAAATCAATGTTTGGGGTGCAGCCCATTCACCTGCCTTAGGAAACTCAGCAAGGGGGTCCCCCCCTTCTCTGGATTAACAGGGGTCAATAACGAGCTGAGGTAAGGTGGGGGCCTCTCCGCCTTTCATCTGACCATCAGGTTCCAAGTAGGTGTCATTGCTGTCAGCATGCTGCCTGAGTCCTTGGGACAGGTGACCTTCTTGACAGGGAACCCTACTTGAATGCACTTAAAAGTCAACACTGGCTGGGCACGGTGGCGCACGCCTGTAATCCCAGCATTTTGGGAGGCCCAGGCGGGCAGATCACGAGTTCAAGAGATCGAGACCATCCTGAACAACATGGTAAAACCTCATCTCTAGTAAAAATACAAAAAAAAAATCAGCCGGGCATGGTGGCAGGTGCCTGTAGTCTCGGCTTCTCAGGAGGCTGAGGCAGGAGAATTGCCTGAACCTGGGAGGCTGCACTCCAGCCTGGCAACAGAGTGAGAGTCTGCCTCAAAAAAAAAAAAAAAAATCAACGTTACATGCAAACTGCACTGACCCCGCAGACCGAGCGACCCCATCCTCTTCTCTTCCTGCAGGCAGAATGACCTCTGCTGGGGCGTCAGCGGCAGGGGGATGCCTCCATTGTTGTACGTTGTGCAGTAGCGAATCACCTCCTCCAAGGCCCCCTTCATGAAGTAAATGTCTTCCTGATCCTTAGAAAAGACAAAGGGAAGAAACCCACTATCACTGAATGCCTCGGTCCATAGTGACCATCACCCACTCTGTGCGAGGTGATACAGACACGCATGGGGACGTTTGCGGCGGAGTCATTTACAGTGGGCTGGTGCTGTTCACACAGGCCGGACGGGTTCCCTAAGTTCCGGAATCCCTCCCGGGACTGTTGGTCCATCTTCAACCCGTACCGCCCTCACTCTTCTTTCAGTTCCCTTATTACTGTCGCTCAGAGTACCCTGTATGTTTCCGTAACGGGAGGCTTCGTCCCAGCTTGGGCTGTTCCTCTGGGTGTGTGATTCCTTGTGAATATTTTGGTTAGACTGCTGCTTCCCTAGGGCAGCGCCAAGTCTGTTTCGTACCCACCCCCAGCGTGTGGCTTGTAATTATGCACCCACGTGAGTAGCTGATCATTTCTCCCATGATTTTGTTCAGCTCTGCCATAAAATATGTGTAGACTCTAAGCTCCATGTGGGCAGGCCCTGGGTCAGAGAGAGTCACACGGTATCCCCAGCCTCACTACTGGACCTACCTGGCTCAAGTGGGTGTAGTGTTAATATAACCCTGTTATAAGTTAATATAATATTAATTATAATGTATTAGTTAATATATTAATGTTCTAAATTTAATATATTTTATAATAATGTATAATTACTATTAAAATATATAATTATAATACAATCAATATTGGATAATATAAATATTGTTAAAATTAATGTAACTAATATTAAAATATAATTAACATTATAACACATAGTATATTATAACTAATATTATAATATTGTTAATACAACAAGCATGTAATTATAATTAATATTATAATATTGTTAATATAACAAGCTTATATTAACCAACACAGAAAGGCACCTAAAACATAAGAGAAAATCTTAGGAGAAAAAAGCAGATTACAAACACTATAAACAGTGACTTTTAGAAACTACCATCCAGATGTTGCCATGCACATATTTAGAACCTGCAATGCTCCATTCCAGACTTAAAACAGAGTTACCTCTGGGTGGATGGTTGCGGGGAGGGAGGAAAGAAGGGTGGAATGAAAAAAAGCTTTCATTTTTAAGTCTTTTTTTTTTTTTTTTTTTTTTTTAGACAGAGTTTTGCTCTTGTTATACCCAGGCTGGAGTGCAATGGCGCGATCTCGGCTCACCGCAACCTCCGCCTCCTGGGTTCAGGCAATTCTCCTGCCTCAGCCTCCTGAGTAGCTGGGATTACAGGCACACGCCACCATGCCCAGCTAATTTTTTGTATTTTTAGTAGAGACGGGGTTTCACCATGTTGACCAGGATGGTCTCGGTCTCTTGACCTCGTGATCCACCCGCCTCGACCTCCCAAAGTGCTGGGATTACAGGCTTGAGCCACTGCACCCGGCCTAAGTCATATTTCTATAGTTTTTCAATGAGAATGTATTACCACTGCCTTGCAGGGAAAAAGATTCAAAGGTCTAAAAGTTTTCCAAAAATCTGTAATCCCTTCTAAGCCCTGAAATGTCCATGTGCCCACCCACCCCAGCAAGGCCCTGGCATGAGCTGGCCAAGCCACCCACAGCCCTGAGCAGGAGCTGAGAAATGTGCATGGGCAGACATGGTGGATTCTAGAAAGAATGGAGGAAAGAGGAGGGATGGCGAAAAAGGCAGAAGGCAATGAAAACCTTAAAAAACAGCTTTTAGAGAAAATTTGAAAAATCAGCTGTAATGTCCACCCGGGGTGGCCATAGCTTGGTATGTGTTCCTGTAGTCAGGGACAACATGTGTGCACACAGCGGGATGTACCACCCAGACACGCCTTCGGTACTGAACCGTCTGCTCCCTAATAAGACAGGGAGAGGAGCTAACAGGCATGAAAACTTGGCCGGTGCCGTGGGAGGCCGAGGCAGGAGGATCACGAGGTCAGGAGATCGAGACCATCCTGGCTAACATGGTGAAACCCCGTCTCTACTAAAAATACAAAAAATTAGCCGGGCGTGTTGGCGCACACGTGTAATCCCAGTTACTCGGGAGGCTGAGGCAGGAGAATCGCTTGAACCTGGGAGGCAGAGGAGGTTCCAGTGAGCTGAGACTGTGGTACTGCACTCCAGCCTGGGCAACAGAGCGAGACTCCATCTTAAAAAAAAATATATAAAAAACTTAGCACAGGGCTGCAAAGTGAGGCCTGGCAAGTTAGCGACTGGGGACGGGGTTAGCAGCAGGGCCTCAGTCATCTGATGGCAGGCTGGTGAATTTCAACACTCGCACCTGCATCAGAATCCTCAGAAAACAACAGTTACCGGGTCCCACCCCTGGACCTTCCAACTCAGGTTCCATGCTAGACCTGAGATTCTGCATTTCTAACAAACCCTCATGTGATACAGACACTGCTGCCCCAGGAACCCTGCTTTGAGAACTGCTGTTTTAAACAAAAAGCCAGAAGCAGACCCAAGAGAACCAAAGGTTTGCCGGTGATAAAGTTTTTCAGTGCATGTGGGACTGCGCAGAAGCAGCCAGGAGCTTTACGATCGTCTTTGAAGTCTGCATTTTGCTTTATTTCTGGGCGGGGCCCGGGCAGAAAGAGAGAAGAGGCTGGAGATGGGAAGTTCTCACCTCGGTCTTCGGACTGCATTTCACTGCCATCCACTTCTGCTCTGAACTGAATGGAATCTCTGTTTTCCTTATATATGAATTTTTAATATCACTTAAATCCATCTAGCATAATAAAATGAGACATTTTTAGTGAGTCATCCAAAGCCAGTCTCTATACGAAGCTCAGTCCATTTAAAGTATTCACTGTTCAAACCACCTCTGGCAGATAATAAATCCAAGCACTGAGCACAAAGGAAAAAAAAGCCGATTCTAGACCGGGCGCGGTAGCTCAAGCCTGTAATCCCAGCGCTTTGGGAGGCCGAGGCAGGTGGATCACAAGGTCAAGAGATCGAGACCATCCTGGTCAAGATGGTGAAACCCCGTCTCTACTAAAAATACAAAAAATTAGCTGGGCATGGTGGCGCGTGCCTGTAGTCCCAGCTACTCAGGAGGCTGAGGCAGGAGAATTGCCCGAACCCAGGAGGCGGAGGTTGCGGTGAGCCGAGATCGTGCCATTGCACTCCAGCCTGGGTAACAAGAGCGAAACTCCGTCTCAAAAAAAAAAAAAAAAAAAGGAAAAAAGGCTGATTCTCTTGGAATGTCCCACTTGAAAAAATATATATATCTCTTCTCTTGGCTGAAGGGCAGACCCGATGGTCTTTGCCACTGAACTGCTTTTATCTACAACCTGCTTAGAACCAAAACCCGGCAGCATTTCTGCTGGGAGGAACATTTCAGACTTGAAGGTGTAGCAATTTCCCAAAAGGAAACGCCCGAGTCAGCAAGGCAGCCCTGCTGTCCACAGCCTGGTGCTTTGCCAGCCTGCGGTTGCTTTTTTTTCTATTTTGTTCTTGAGATGGAATCTCACTCTGTTGCCAGGTTGGAGTGCAGTGGTGTAATCTTGGCTCACTGCAGCCTCCACCTCCTGGTTTCAAGTGATTCTCAAGCGCACACCACCATGTCCAGCCAACTTTTGTATTTTTAGTGGAGACAAGGTTTCACCATATTGGCCAGGATGGTCTCGATCTCTAGACCTTGTGATCCACCCGCCTCGGCCTCCCAGAGTGCTGGGACTACAGGCGTGAGCCACCGCGCTCGGCCTGCCATCTGTTGCTCTTTGACGGCTTTTGGATCAGTAATGTGACAATTCAGAGTCTCAGTTTCCCCAAGTGTAAGCCAGTCATGACCCATGCATCCCACTGCCCCACAGGAGGTGAAAGCGGATTGCCTCGGGGGCACAAAAACTCCTTGTACGTAGAAAGTGCACATATGCGCACAACACGCAGTGTGTCTGCAGTATGAAATTCCAGGGGGTGGGAGTGGGTGATTAGGGAAAAAATACCTACAACTACTCCTTAGTGCAGTTGAATTGTACCCCACAAAAAAATATGTCCAAGTCCTAACCCCGGAACCTCTGAATGTGACCTGATTTGGAAGTAGGGCCTTTGCAGATGTCATTAAGTTAATCTGAGGCCATTAGTGTCTGCCCTAAGCTAATACAGCCACATCTAAGAGGAGGAAGGCTGGGCGTGTGGGCTCACGCCTGTAATCCCAGCACTTTGGGAGGCCGAGGCAGGTGGATCACGAGATCAGGAGATCGAGACCATTCTGGCTAACACGGTGAAACCCCGTCTCTAGTCAAACTACACAAAATTAGCCAGGCGTGGTGGCACACGCCTGTAGTACCAGCTACTTGGGGGGCTGAGGCAGGAGGATCACTTGAATCTGGGAGGCAGAGGTTGCAATGAGCTGAGATCATGCCATTGTACTCTAGCCTGGGCGACAGAGCAAGACTGTTTCAAAAACATAAAGAGGAGGAAAACGCTGCGTGGAGCCGTGGTGGGGAGCACCTCGTGATGGAGGCAGAGCTTGGTATGAGAAGCCAAGGCAGAGACGCAGATGCGAGTGAAGGAATGCCTGGGGCCGCCCGTGACACCCAGAAGCTGGGAGACGGAGCCTGGCCCTGCTCACACCTTGATTTCAACTTCTGGCCAACAGAGCTGTGCTTCAATGTGTTTTGGTGACTCTATGTCACCAGCCACTGGTGCTTTATTTCAGCAACCCTGGGACACTATTCCAGGAGCAATCATGGAAGAAAGGTTGGGAACCTCTGGGCTGGCCTCAGTGCCATTTACAACAGGTGAGATACATGAGAACCATGACGTGCCTGCCCCATGCCCATCACACAGGCACAGCTTCCTATGTGCCAGCGAGTGTTTATCTTATATTCTAAAATCTTAAACCAGGCCCCAGGAAAGAGGAAAATGATAGCATATCAAAGAATCTCCCAGCTTCTGGGTTCTGGAACCTCTGTCCTGGCTAGGCTTCGGGGGCGCCTTCCTTTCTGTGAATCAAGGAGCTGCTGAGTGGGGCAGACTCAGCACTATTTTAAGGGGGGAAATGAGCCCCCTTCGCTATGACAGACATTGCAGGGAGAATTCTCTTCTGTGACTGGAAGGAAAATAATATGATGTCATTTCTTTTTTTTTTGAGACAGAGTCTTGCTCTGTCACCCAGGCTGTAGTACAGGGGCATGATCTCGGCTCACTGCAACCTCTGCCTCTCTGGTTCAAGTAATTCTTCTGCCTCAGCCTCCCAAGTAGCTGGGATTACAGGTGCGCGCCACCATGCCCGGCTAATTTTTTAATTTTTAGTAGAGATGGGGTTTCGGCGTGTTAGCAAGACTGGTCTCGAACTCTTGGCCTCAGGTGATCCATCCACTTCAGCCTCCCAAAGTGCTGTGATGACAGGCAAGAGCCACCACGCCCAGCCTTTTTGTTTTTTTTTTTGAGGCAGGATCTCACTCTGTCATCTAGACTGGAGTGTGGTGCTGTGATCACAGCTTACTCTAGCCTCAGACTCCTGGGCTCAGGGGATCCACCTACCTCAGCCTCCCGAGGAGCTAGGACCACAGGCACGCACCATCAGGCCCAGCTAAGTTTTATATTTTTTGTAGAGATGAAGTCTAGCTATGTCGTCCAGTCTGATCTCAAATTCTTGGCCTCAAGTGGTCCTCCCGCCTCAGCCTCTCAAAGTGCTGGGATTTGAGCCACCGCACTCAGCCTGTAACGATCTCCCAATGCTCTTGCACTGGGGAAAAGCGCCTGATCTACCGTCTCAGGGACTTATGAGAGGGCGACCACCCCTTCCCCGCCCAGCACCGGCTCCAGGAAGGCAGCTGAGCGGGAGGTCGAAGTCTGTCGCTGGAGGGCGGGAGAGGTAAGCCGACCACAGAAGGTAGTGAAGCAAGCCTGGGTGCCTGGGTGAGAAGAGGCGTCTACTGGGGTGGACACTGGAGTGAACTTGGAGAGAAAGTCAGAGCTCGCCAGTGAGGACAGACAGAAGCGCTCAAAGACCAGGAGGAAAGAGGAAGGGGGCGAGTGCAGGGGCCAGGCTGGCAGCAGCGAGGGGTCAGTGCTGAGGGATGAGCACCCTGAGTCAGGCTTTTCTCTTCACCTTGATGGAGAGGGGTCTGACCAGACCCGAGCTGGAGACAAGTCACACAGCAGGAAGCATGGGGCGGCCGGGGGAGAGAAGCTTGTGCGGTGTCCAGGGCAGTCCCAGCTCTGGCTGAAGAGGAGGGACCCCGGCCAAGTGGCCATGGAAACAGACGTGGGTGCTGACCAGGGCCACCTTCGCCCTTCCTTCGGTTCCTCCTAACTTCTGCTGAGCCCCTCCTTTCCCATGTCCTTTGTCCTCTCTTCTCCTCCCTTTCCTGTGACCTGCATTCCCAGCCCACATTTTTCTACCTGTCCTTCTGCTAACTTGTCCTCTGAGCGCAGAACGCAGCAGGCCCCCATCAGCCCCCGCGCATCCCCTCCACACTTCGAGTAGCCGTGTGGTATCAACCTGGTGCTGGGCACAGAATGGCCCGGGGCCATTCTGCACAGCCACAGAGCCCAGGGTCTAACGCGGAGCCCTGGAGTCCATCAAATGCATTCCCAGGATCCAGGCCACCCCCTCAGCCCAATGGTGCCTCGGTGAGCACAGGATTGTGTTGGGTGCACAGGGAGTCTTGTTCCACTATCTGTAGCCCCAACACCTACACAGGGCCTGAACCATAGGGGAGCTCACAGGATTCTTTTAGAATCACTGATGGAGGAATTGGAGACCTGCAGAACTTCCTGAAGTCCCGTGGAATCTGAGCTCATCTCCTCCACCATTAGTAGATGGTCCAAGGCCAGCCTGGGCCATTTTCTTCCATGATTACCTAATGTCCCAGGAACTGTCAGCTCAGACAGGAGCTGGCTTTTTACCAACAAATCCAGCCCCGAGGGAAAGAATTCCCCGCAGAGACACCCCAGGACCTCCTACCTTCATCGCCAGGGCCATCAGGGCACCCTCGGTGGGCTGCCCCATCACGGTGTTCTTTCTGATGACTGCGTTGTTGGCGACACAGCCCGCCTAAAGGGGGATTGTCCAACATCTGTGGTTAGTACTGGGCTCCTGACAAAGACGCTGCGGGCTTGGCCCATTTTTACAGCGGAGGCTGCAGGGACAAGGCTTGCTCTTTAAAACGACTCAGCGCCCTAGCTCTTTAAAAGAAACACCTATTTCTTGGCTGTGCTGAATGTCAGCTGCCACAAAGATAACATGAGGGAATCCAGCAGGTGATGAGTGGTGATTACAGTGGGGAAGATGGCGTTTCCACCTGGGGTGACAGTGCTCTAGGCAGTGAATTGTACACTGTAACGGTGAACGCATGATAGATGACGTCTCCATTAAAAAATAAATATTTAAAAAATGAAAAAGACACAAGCAAAAAGTGGGACTCCTGGTGCTCTTCCTTTCCAGCTGGCGAGCCTGGCACTCACAGAACTTCTCTGAGCCCATTTCGTTTCTTTTCTTTCTTTTTTTACTGTTTACTTAATAAGTTTTGCACATTTCTGTTTCATTCATTTATCCTTCCATCCATTCATTCATTCGAGACAGAGTCTCACTCTGTCACCCATGCTGGAGTGCACTGGTGCAGTCTCAGCTCACTGCAACCTCCACCTCCCTGGTTTAAGGCACTTCTCCTGCCTTAGGCTTCTGAGCAGCTAAGACTACAGCAGTGTGCCATCATGCCTGGCTAATTTTTATATTTTTTAGTAGAGACGGGGTTTCACCCTGTTAGTACGCTGGTCGTGAACTCCTGATGTCAGGTGATCTACCAGCCTTGGCCTCCCAAAGTGCTGGAATTACAGGGGTGAACCACCACACCTGGCCATATTTTTTTTTTTCTTAATCTGCAAAACTGAGAGTGTTTGCCATGATAGTGAAGTGGCCCCTGGAGGCAGGGCCTTCTCAGGCAGTGCTCACTGAACTGCACAGAGGAAGAAGGGTGCCTGCTGCGTGGGGAGGAGAGAACCTTTGTGAGGGGGCGAGTGCAGCCCGGATTGCAGGACTGATCGCAGCAATAGGGGAAAGTCATCACAGGCTCACTTTCCACCATTCATCGGGCACGTCTCTGCGCAGGGGTCTCCTTAGAGCCTTCCCAGTGGGCAGTGATGAGTACAGGCTTCTAGCTCTTCTCTTTTTTTTAATACTTTTTTTTTTGAGATGGAGTCTTACTCTGTCTCCCAGAACAGAGTTCAGTCGCACGATCTCAGCTCACTGCAACCTCCACCTCCCGGGTTCAAGTGATTCTCCTGCCTCAGCCTCCCAAGCAGCTGGGACTACAGGTGCCTGCCACTGTGCTGGGCTAATTTTTGTATTTTTAGCAGAGACAGGATTTCACCATCTTGGCCAGGCTGGTCTTGAACTCCTGACCTCATGATCCACCCACCTCAGCCTCCCAAAGTGCTGGGATTACAGACATGAGCCACTGCGCCTGGCCTAAATAATTTTTCAAAAAATAATAGAGACAGGGTCTCACTATGTTGCTGCTCTTAAACTCTGGGCCTCAAGGGATTCTCCAGCCTTGGCTTCTTGGGAGGCCACTGCGCCCAGCCTAGCTCTTCTCTGACCTCCAATGCCTCCATCAGTTTTGGGGTCGCTTTTCCAGTGCTGTGACAGGCTAACCCCTGGGTGGTCCCGTCACTGTCGATAGCTGTTTCCCTTTTCAAAGACAAGCCCCGGAAGCCCCGATGCAAATGCCTATTTCCCCCACGGTGCCTTCGACACCTACCTCCACTAATTTTCCCACCGAGACATTGGAAAATTCCTTAATGACTTCCTTGGATGGTAGAAGACACACAGTCCCTTGGCCATCATACCCAACTCCACTGACCTGCAGGGGAGAGGCAGAAGAACGTGTGTCACCAAGAGTCAAAAACATGCTCCCTGGTTGGCCCACCATCTCTGTCCTGGGGATCCATGCCAAGGACATCATTCTAAACAAGTACAGGGCTTTAAGTATGGAGATGTTCCCTGAAAGATTATTTATTAGTCAGATACCTCACTGACGGACAAAGCGGCACACATGAGTAAATTACATCAAGTTTACTCAACGGGATACTCTGCAGCCAAGTCAACTGATGGCTAAGCCAACTAAGACCTAGCACAGAAGAGTGCTTGTGTTCTAAGTGCTTGTGTTCTTAGTGCTTGTGTTCTTAGTGGTTGTGTTCTAAGTGCTTGTGTTCTTAGTGCTTGTGTTCTAAGTGCTTGTGTTCTAAGTGCTTGTGTTCTAAGTGCTTGTCTTCTCAGTGCTTGTGTTCTCAGTGCTTGTGTTCTCAGTGCTTGTGTTCTAAGTGCTTGTGTTCTCAGTGCTTGTGTTCTCAGTGCTTGTGTTCTAAGTGCTTGTGTTCTCAGTGCTTGTGTTCTAAGTGCTTGTGTTCTAAGTGCTTGTGTTCTTAGTGCTTGTGTTCTAAGTGCTTGTGTTCTAAGTGCTTGTGTTCTAAGGACAGAGTGTGCAATCTTTGCAGCCGATACCACCTCTGTCATGGCTGTACCGTTGTGGCCCACTGAGGCATGAAAGCAGCCACTGGCAACATGTGCTCGAATGGGTGTGGCAGTACTCCACCAAAACTATTTCCAAACATCAGCCCTGGCCCACGGGCAATCATTTGTTCACCCCTTGCTCTGGCCAGTCTTGTGGAAAAAATATCAGGATAAAAAATTGCACATCCAGGGAGCTTCCAATGCGCCAAGCACACAGAAGACACTGAAAAACATGAGGAGACTTGGGAGGCTGAGGACAGAGGATCACTTAAGCCCAGAAGCTAGAGGCTGCAGTGATCTGCCCACCTTGGTCAAGTCCAGTGGTGCAACCTGGGTGACACAACACCCTGTCTTTAAAAAAAAAAAAAGATCTCAAACTCCTGACCTCAGGTGATCCACCTGCCTCGGCCTCCGAGTGCTGGGATTACAGGCATGAGGCACCTTGCCCAGCATGGAAAATTTTTTCTAGCTTTTCAATTTTGTAATGTGCTTGTAATTAACAAGTAGTAAGAAAAGCAGGCTCCCTTAAATTGGTCATGTCATTTGAAAGGAAGTATGAGATGATTACAAAAAAAATCAGTCCTGTTAGCCAAGAGACTGTAAGATGACCCCAGTTTCTTTCTTATTGTGTTCTAGAAGACACTGCATGCTTTGTCTAGGAGACGGCCTGGCTGGGTGCATCTTTAAGGCTTGGAAATGCCTCTGGGACTCACCTCGGCATGAAGCCCATCCGATGTTACAAGCTGGGTCACCGTCATTTCGTTGGCAGTCAGAGTTCCCGTCTTATCAGAACAGAGAACGCTGCAGCAACCTGGTACAATAAGCATCAGTTTATAGAAAAGAGAAATCGCCACCCTCAGGTTTGTGAAACCCCCAGACTGGACGGCCCTGACAGCCAAGCTTCCATTCAGTTCCAAATGTCAGAATGCCACCAGCCAGAGTCCCTTACCTAAAGTCTCCACGATGGGTAACTTCTTCACGATGACACGCTTCTTGGCCATCCGCAGCACTCCGAGGACCAACGTCACCATGACGACAATGGGCAGACCCTCTGGAATGGCCGCCACAGCCAGGCTGGGTCAAAAGGTCAAACGAGTCCCCTCTAACACCCACTTAAGGAGAGCGTGACTCTCGCCTGGGGCTGGCAATGCTTCTGGCTTGTGAAGCTCGGCTTTGGTGTCCCCAGTGTCCTGGTTCTACTCTCCATTCCCAATCCTAAGGGGCACCTGACTCCTTCAGCACTCGTGGTCCTGAGCCCTCTGCTACAGACCCTGCTCTTGGGAAGGGACCTCTCCTGTCAGTCATCCACAGCTTAGTGTGAATTAGTAGGTCAGCTGTTTTGGCTCTTCAAAAATTTTGTTTTGTTTTTTGAGACAGAGTTTCACTCTTGTTGCCCATTCTGGAGTGCAGTGATGTGAATCAGCTCACCGCAACCTCTGCCTCCCGGTTCAAGTGATTCTCCTGCCTCCGCCTCCCGAGTAGCTGGGATTACAGGCATGTGCCACCACACCCGGCTAATTTTGTATTTTTAGTAGAGACGGGGTTTCTCCATGTTGGTCAGGCTGGTCGTGAACTCCCGACCTCCAGTGATCCGCCCACTTCAGCCTCCCAAAGTGCTGAGATTACAGGCGTGAGCCACCGTGCTTGGCTAAAGGTATTTTGCATTTACATTATGAGATGTAAATTATTCTCATTATGAGAATAATAAATGAGATTATTAGAGAGAAAAGGCTTTGGGTCCCATGAAAGGAATTCTCAGAATCAGACAGTAAGTGGGATTAAGAGTTCCTGGTTCCGAGGGTCCTTGTGGGTCCCCTGAATTTCACTTTTCAGTAGTGTAGTGGCGCAGACACTTCCTATGAGGAAGCCAGACAAGGGAGGTGAAAGGCCACAGCGATGGCCCTGCCCGCTGCGCGGCTCCCTTTCAGGGTGTCTGCCCACTTCCTTCTTATCCTTCCAACTCTCCCTGGACTATGCGACCCCACTCCCCCATAACCAGTGTCGACTGAATTCAAGGAGAGAGTCTGACCCAAGCTGAGCCAGTAAGATGGTCTCTTGGAAGCAAGAATGGGGCTGTGACACACAGCGGCCCCTTCCTGGGGTGTGTCAACAGGTGAGAGGACGTGCACAGAAGGCTCGCTCTGTCCCTTGTGGCTGAGACTCCACACCACCGGGGTCGAGTGGCCCCACATCGCACGCTCCTGAAATGGCAGAGAGGTATGATGCCTGGGGCCTGGTTGGACGTAGCCAGGGGTGGGCTGTGATGGGGCCTGAGTGTTGCGAGTGGACCACAGTGGAGCGGGGCAGCGGCTACTCAGGGCTTCATTTTATCATCCTCTCTGCTTTTGTAGATGCTTGAAATTTTTCTTTAAAAAATGTAAAAACCAACATGAAGAAAGCACGACAATCCAAATGTGTATCAGTGAACAAAAGGATGAGCCGAACGTGGCTTATACACAGTGAAATACCCTTCAGCCATAGAAAGGAACAAGGCGCCGACACAGAAAAATGTGCTGCTGAGTGGAGGAAGCCAGACACAGAGGCCACTCAGAGCATGAGTCCATCCATAAGGGGTGTCCCCAATGGGGAAATCTACACAGAAAGAAAGAGGAGTGATTGCTTAGGGCTGGGATGCGGACTCTGGCAGGAATATAGAGTGATAGCTGAAGGGTACAGGGTTTCTTCTTGAGGCAATAAGAAAATGTTCTAGGCCAGGTGCAGTGGCTCACGCCTGTAATCCCAGCATTTGGGGAGGCTGAGGCAGGCAGATCATCTGAGGTCAGGAATTTAAGACCAACCTGGCCAGCATGGTGAAACCCCCGTCTCTACTAAAAATACAAAAATTAGCAGGGCGTGGTGGTGCACACCTGTAATCCTAGCTACTCAGGAAGCTTAGGCAGGAGAATTGCTTGAACCCAGGAGGCAGAGGATGCAGTGAGCTGAGATCGTGCCATTGCACTCTAGCCTGGTGACAGATCGAGGCTTTGCCTCAAAAAAAGGAAAAAAGTGGCCAGGCATGGTGGCTCATGCCTGTAATCCCAGCACTTTGGGAGGCCGAGATGGGTAGATCACCTGAGGTCAGGAGTTCGAGATCAGCCGGGCCAACGTGGTGACACCCCATCTCTATAAAAAAAATAAAAATAAAAATAAAAAAAGGTCTAAGGCCAGGCACAGTAGCTCACGTCTATAATGCCAGCACTTTGATAGGATGACACGGGCAGATCGTTTCACCTCAGGAGTTCGAGACCAACCTGGGCAACACTTTTTTCTATTTCTACAAAAAATAAAAATTAGCTGAGTGTGTCAGTGTACACCTATAATCCCAGCTACCCAGGGGGCTGAGGTGGGAGGGTTGCTTGAGCTTGGGAGGTCAAGGCTGCGGCTATGGTGTGCTGTCACAATGCCACTTGCTGCAGCCTGCGTAACAGAGTAAGACCATGTCAGAATAGAATAGAATAGAAAATAAGTCCTAAAATGGACTGTGGTGATGCTTGTATCTCTCTGTAAATATACTAAAACACATTCAATTGTATACTTTAAATGAATCAATTATATGATATGTGAATTATATCTCTATAAAGCTGTTTAAGAAAGAAAAAGAAAAGCAGACTTGGCTGGCTATGGGGAGGGGAGGAGAGATTTTGAGCAGGTGGGGGAGGCTGGCCAGTTCCCCCTCACCAAGCCTCCACCTGAGGCCAGCCTGAGGGGTGAGGAGGATGTGACTTCAATGGAGCTCCAAGTGCTTTTATCACACGGAACCATGCTGTGTAATTTCTAGAAAGGGACTCTTCTGGGGACTAAAACCGATGAGGAATTTCTGTTATCTGAGAACACCAGAAAAGCCATGGGAGAAGAGGGCCACTGTCTCCCAGCACACCTGCAGGCCACCCACAGCCACTGCCACAGACCTGGCAGAAGCTTCTCTACACCCGCCTGGTCCAGCTCCCAGAGCCAGGCTCCCCAGCAAATACATGAAATCAGCCAGTATGAGCGAGACAACAGCAATGCCCAGGGCTGCCAGGCCTCCCATGCTCCCCAAGAGAAGCTGGAAACCCAGTATTTTTTCATACAAACTCCCAGTTTTTAAATGTTGGCAACAAATTACAATTAAAAAAAAAAAATAGGCTGGGTTCGGTGGCTCACACCTGTAATCCCAGCACTTTGGGAGGCCGAGGCGGGTGGATCACAAGGTCAAGAGATCGAGACCATCCTGGTCAACATGGTGAAAGAAACCCCATCTCTACTAAAAATACAAAAATTAGCTGGGCATGGTGGCGTGTGCCTGTAATCCCAGCTACTCAGGAGGCTGAGGCAGGAAAATTGCCTGAACCCAGGAGGCAGAGGTTGCGGTGAGCCGAGATCGTGCCATTGCACTCCAGCCTGGGTAACAAGAGCGAAACTCCGTCTCAAAAAAAAAAGTAGAGTTCAAACAAAACTTATTTCCTGGCTATGTCTCACACAAGGGTGTCTGGGTTGGCTTGTCTGTTGAGATGGAGTCTCGCTGTCATCCAGGCTGGAATGCAGTGGCACAATCTCAGCTCACTGCAGCATCCACCCCCCAGGTTCATGCAATTCTGCCTCAGCCTCCTGCATAGCTGGGATTACAGGCATGCGCCACCACGGTTGGCTAATATTTGTATTTTTAGTAGAGATGGAGTTTCACCTGTTGTTGGCCAGGCTGGTCTTGAACTCCTGGCCTCAAGCGATCTGCCTGCCTGAGCCTCCCGAAGTGCAGGGATTACAGGCCTGAGCCACTGCACGCAGCCTGTTTTTTGAGATGGGGTCTCACTGTGTTGCCCAGGCTGGAGTGCAGTGTCGTCATCACGGCTCACTGCAGCCTCTACCGCCTAGACTCAAGCAATCCTCCAGCCTCTACCTCTCTGGTAGCCAGGACACAGGCATGCACCCTATTTACTTCCTAATTTTGAAAATCATTTGTAGAGACAAGGTCTCACTATTACCCAGGCTGGTCTTGAACTTCTGGGCTCAAGTGATTCTCCCGCCTCAACATCCCTAACTGCTGAGATTACAGGCATGAGCCACCAAGCCTGGCAAGGAGGCTGTTTTATCCTCTGCATTAGAAAATCCAGCAGAGCAAGGAGGTATACAGTCAGTATTTGCTGCATGAAGAAGTGGGTACATGCAATGCTTCAGCCTGCGCTGGCCTAGCACACAGTGAGCACTCTACCTGGGGTGGCTGAGAGAACACCTGGTGAGGATCTATTCAACCAGGATCACACAGGGAGACCGTATATATTTCATCAGCGCTAAGACACAGTTGATTGTGAAGGGCACCATTATTTTGTGCAGCACTTGGAAAAGAATCCACACTGCCAATTAATCAGTTACACCATGCTTTCTAATTACATTGCTCGCTAAAAGCGATCTGATTTCAGGGGAGTTGAAATGTGAAAAAGAACGTACATCGCAGCCAGGCATGGTGGCTCACGCCTGTAATCCCAGCACTCTGGGAGGCTGAGGTGGGTGGATCACAAGGTCAGCAGTTCAAGACCAGCCTAACTAGGATGGTAAAACCATCCTACTAAAATATAAAACTGTCTCTACTAAAAATATATAATTGGCTGGGTGTGGTGGCAGGCGCCTGTAATCCCAGCTACTCAGGAGGCTGAGGCAGAGAACTGCTTGAACCTGGGAGGAAGAGGTTGCAATGAGCTGATACGGTGCCACTGCACTCCAGTCTGGGTGACAAAGTGAGACTGTCTCAAAAAAAAAAGAAAGAGAAAAAAAAGGACATCTCAGAATCAAAGAAATATGGTATATTAAATGTTGGCAACAAATTCCACTTGCAAAACAGACAGTTTGAATAGAGCGATTCTGAATAGTGACCTTTCATCCAGGGACAATAGAACAGGCAGGGACAAGTCATATAAACCAAGATTATAGAATTTGGTCAGGAGACTGTGCCCAGTTTCTACAGTGACAGCCAGAAGGCTTTACAGCACAGCCTGTGAGGACCAGCTAAGCAAACACTCGTGGAGGGTTATGACATGGACTTTCATCCCAGAGGCAGGGAAAGGGCATCTTTGCATGTACCTGGATGAATTCACAATAAT